TTATCTACTCATCTTTAATGTGCGTTTCAGCTGCTCATTGATGCATATGGAACTATTGAGCCGGTCGACGTCAGCGCTATGGAAGGCGTGTTTGAGCTCCTCAGAAACAATAGGTCGGTGGTACTTCAAGGTAGCCATTGGGCTGCCCTTATCAACGCATATGGTTGCGTGAAGAAGGACTTGAGGAAGGCAATCAGTACCTTCGACTCTATCCCAACACCTGATGCTGTCGCCTATGAATCCCTCATCAATGTGCTCGTCACCAACAAGCAGATGGCTCTTGCACCCAGTTACATGGAGAAGTTGAAGTCGTCTGGTGTACATATGACGGCATACATCGCCAATCTCTTGATTAAGGGCTATGCTGCCGCCGGGGACATTGAAGAAGCTCGAAGAATATTTGAGAACTTGGTGGATCCCCCCAGCGGTGTCGCAGCCTCAGGTAACCATGTTCCTCATGAAGGCTCCAATCAGCGTACGTCCCCATCACCATCCCTGTCGTACCGCGAGGTGAGTATTACAGCAAATACACGTGGATGAGAATTCACTCTACTTTACAGCCATCTACGTGGGAAGCTATGTTCCGTGCAGAGCTAGGGAATGGCTATCGCGACAGAGCGGTCGCATTGCTGGCACGGCTCCAGGAAAGGTACATCCATATCCCCTGGCTCGTATGGTTGAAACTGACTTCTGTCAAGACAATTCCCTGCCGCAGTATACAATCGGATACGAGGCATCATGAGCGATCATTCCGTCTCACCATGGGCAGCATCTCCTTGATCACACTACTATTGTCCACTGCTTGATTATAACACGGACCCGGCAACACTGGCTAACCAGCAGAAGGCGCAATATTTTTCTAGACGCCATGATTGGAATACTAAAAGCATCTGCTCACTAATCATTCATTCATTGCGACACTACCATCATGCATGACACTCGTGTACACTATTGTATATATACATTTGTATCATACCCTCGCGATGAATTTTTTCAAGTTGCCCCGAACGTGACGATTGATGAACAGCTTGGAGGTTTTTTAGGCCCTGTTGGGTTCGTGTGTAATTACATAATCCACTTGTCAAACTAGGGTTCGGCGTTGCCGAATCTGACCTTGCTTGCCTGCATGGTCTCGGATTTTTCTCAAGTTGTCGTCACCTACTGCACCTATAATCTCTTTCATTGTTAATTTATCCAGGGCAGAATTGAGCTGTTGCGACATGGTTCAAAAACTGTAAACTGCATCCTAATGTCATGACATACAGCCACATTCAGCATTTATTGATATTTATTATTGCTTATTATTGGCAGTCAGTCCGTCAGATGGCATATGACCTTGCAAGCAAGGTGACACTAGTTACTTTCCACTTGCGTGCACAACACGTTTATCAGGTATTGTTCTCCGAAAGAGGACACATGAAAATGGGATCCAGAAACTATAAGTCGTCAATATCTAACACTCAGCGTTCATTATCATACATGTACAAGGTCACGTTGCGGTTGCATCGTGAGTACGCTCGATGCTGTCGCGACTCGCGGGCTGCGGCAGCGACCAAGAGAAGTCGTACTTGTTTGGCGATGAACACGTACATACCTTCAAGTTGCATCTGCCCGGGAAGAATCTGTAATGCCGTTTCGTATCCGACAATGGCATCACTGTGGGTTGGATTGCGCTACAGAATGCTACAGAACGCTCTGTAGCATTCTGTAGCACTCTGTGATGAATTACGTTTCCCTGATCAGTGACTGGGGCGACAATCTGACTCGGAGGCAGCTAGTGCTGCCAAGAGAGAGCATTGTGGTCATCTCGACTCCGAGCATGTGAAGGGAAATGTAGACGAGCTCATCGCAAATCTGGGTTTAAGTACTAGTCATACCCTGCGACGAAATCTTATGACCCACTGCTAGCCAGTCCTATATAGTAGTCAGGACTCGATCGACGCGTCTCTAGTCACGTGTTAACAAAATCAGTTCATCAAGGGGAATGATAGTCTATGGCACGCTAGCCAGTTTTACAATACACTAATTAAAATTGGTACTCCTCAAATTCCAGTTTAGAGAATCGCCAATAGCACTACACAACTTGTTAGTACCTGACTCAAATTCTGACTGGATGGCCAGCCATCCAGAAGCTATAGCAATATCACCTGTTGCAAGTTCAATTTTGCTCATCGACGGCTATATGATGAATGGTCTACGTACAGCAAGTGCAGCGAACTGAGCTGCCAGTGCAGTCTGCTGTGAATGTAATTTCCATCCCATGTATACCACCAATCCTTCATCTCTCTTGTCCTAGGCCTCAACACCAACTATACGGGGGCACTCTGCAGCACCATTCGCGAGTGTAAGATCCTTTCGGGTACTCTTGGGATCATATTTCGATTCATCCCCTTCGTCAGCGCAACCCGCGAAGACTTTGGTGCAGTAATCGAACAGAACACTGCGTGGGATACCAGGAACTTCTTCAGTGAACTTAGACGGCGGCCACCCAAATGCTAATTGCAGAGCTGTTCGTGGACTGAAAAGTGACCTTCTCTTAGCGCCCTCGATCGTGGTGATTATTGTCATCATAGGAAGTATACTGTTTCCCTGTAAGGCCTGCCTGCCCCGGATGATCCGCATCCAATTTGCGTCTTGGAATTGTCCGACACATTGTCGAAGGGGTTGTATGCGATGTTTGATGGGGAGTACGGTCATGTCCAACTCGAGCACCAAGGAATGAACATCTGCTGGATTCTCTTCTTGAACGGTGGCCAGTTTGTGTCGTAGAGCACGCTGTCCTGGCCACTTGTCGTCATCGAACTCGGCTGCCTCAATTAACGCAATAAACGGCAGACTTGCCCGAAGGTGCCTGCCAGCTTTGGCCATTCCTGCTAACTGTGAGCAAGAGTGGATATATATATGTATATCGGTTTACACACCAATTCCAGCCTTTAGGATACTGCAATGCTTACGGTGCACAGTCGACCATGCTGCTCGCTGGCAAGATTTTGAGCAGTATTTCGTGGTCTGGCATCCAGCACACTGTTGAAGTCTGGTACTCGCACTGGTGCACTATAACCGGTATCAGCATGGAGCAAACTTGAAATGGGAAGTTCATACCCCAGGACCTCCACAGGTTCGTTCGTACGCTGGACGTGTGCACGGCGTTAATGTAGAGAGAATTCTCCAACGTTGCGAAAGGATCTCTTTAAAGGTCAACAGCGAGCCCCACAATGTTGGATCATGCATGGCATGAACATAAAGGCGTTGAGAATCGATATATTGCATAGACATCGAGGCAATACGAACGACTCTCTCATAGATTAGCGCCCCTCCCAGCTGTTCAAAAATCCTGATGTCATAATCAGACCACCTGGACTTGTGCACGCGGTTTTCCGAGGGGAATACACAGTTCCGTAGGAGGACCTCCAGAAGACGGCAACGAAGGGCATGACAGGCAGTCTCAATGGGATTATTTGAACACGCCAGCACGAACGAGATATACTGATGACCAATAGCCATAGCGGCCCGCTTTGTTGCAGTCTTTTGACAGAAGCTCTCATTGGTAGGATCCAGGTTAGGCTCTGTACCTGGACGTGTCCCTATTCCGGCCAGCGTGTTGAGAACTGTGCGTATTGAGGAATGTGTGAGAAAGAGTTCGCAAATGACAGGGTCTGCCTGGCTTGTAGCAAACATGAAGATGAGCGTTTGCTTGCACGTCAATGAGAGTGTATTTAAGGGGCTAAGATCGAGGTCATGCTTGACCGCGTCACGGTCTCTCTGAGCCGCTCCCTTTCCTGCAAAACGTAGGCATTTGAGAGCAGCCAAAACCATAGGGGTCCTTCCTCCAGCGGCTTCGATGAGCGATGTCAAAGGCGGAAGAGGAGTGCTAGGAGGCTCATAGTACACGCACGAGGTGACGACATGGGCCATGAATGCGCGAAGCATGTTGAAGTCCTGACGCCAGTGGCGAAGATATGGATCAACAATGCAATCTTCGCGTTTGATGTCCGTTACCAAGTACCAGAGTTCCATGATGATTCGCTCGATATCCGGCGTTGTTCGATAGAGATGCGCGACAACACCGGGAAGTACGCTAGCCACATAGATGAACCGTATTGAGGTGCTGGCAGCTTCCTGCGAGGTTACACTGTAGATCCTGTGTAGGCGTGCAACTGGGTCATCCCGCGGGATGAGGAAATTATGGTAGAAAAATTGAACCCATGCAGATACCCCACTCCAATGTGAATGTATAGCATCGGACAGCTTCTGACGAAATTGGGGTGCACCGCGTAATTCTCCTTGGTTCTCTCCGCATAGGCAACTAATGCCCATGATGGACACCTTAGCAAGCATAATTGAATGTGCAGAATCTGAAGTGATCTCATGGGGGACGAGCCTTGGATCGAGATGAACGAAAAAAAGAGGAATGAGAATTTGAAAGTAAGGACGCAAATGATCAGAGGACTGTTTAGAAGAGATAGAACGGTTGAGCGATTTGAGAGACGCAAGGGACGATAATGATCCTCGTTCAATTTGTTTGACTTGATTCTAGGGCCACAATGATTACATCAATAGTCACCAAGTAGACGACCAATTTACTCACTTGCAGCCATGTCGGTAATGATTCCCACTGTGACATGATAGGAGAGTTGGGGATAGGATGCTAACGCAAAGCCTTGAGGCTCTCGTGTACTTAAGAGAAGACTCATCAAGAAGAATGATTGCCTCGAGGCTTCCGCGTGTTCTGCCTTGAGACGAATGAGTGGGTGTCTGACTGCACTGCAGCCATGCATGAACCATCCGTGATGCGTGCACAAGTGGGCAGCCGTGTCGCATGTCGTCGGCTGCTTTATTTGGTGCTGTGCAATGTTCAAGCACGCATGTATGTAATACCGAAACTTATGGTTTGACAACCGAAGTGCTTCGATTTCTGGCCTTGCAATCGGGCTTACCGACAATCACGCCGACTCCCTCCTAGTAAATTCACGTTTGAGTTTGAGAAAAAGGTCCATAAATCAATCTAGACGATCACCCTTGATGTACTTATGCCCGGACTGCAGATCCGTATCATCATCCAAAAGTTTCTTGATCGCCATAACAACCGCTGCCAAAAATCCAAGAATCAGCAGGACTGCCATGTATGGATGGGCGATAATAAAACCCTCAGTGCTTGTGAGACTTGAGTTGAAGACCTGTGTGTATGCAGTTGTGAGCGAGGGAGCTGATAACGACGTAGTGACGCATACCCGAAGAGAGCGCTCTAGGATGTTCTCCGAATGCTTGGAACGTATTTTGCTGTCGTAAATTCCTTCAATAGCAGAGAATATGCTGACGGTGTTTAGCTGAATGGGCTGCCCAGTAGTATCCCTATCCCAATAGATGAGGCGCTATCCAATTATTAGCTATGATACATGAAAAGAACAGGAATTTCAATGTACTCACATTATGATCAGCAACCACCACCTTCGGCTGCTCTTTGACCTTCACACCGTACATACTCTTCATCCAACTTCCCCATTGATCAGCATCCATCCACGTGAATACCACATCTTGTTTCCCAACATAGCTCTTGCGCAGGCGCCACTTTTTTGCAATATCGTCCAACTTCGATGAGACATCATTTTGAACATCATTGGGCGTCGCAGCAATCACGACAAGTGGGTTATGTGGAGCATTCATTACCTGTTGAAATACATCGCGCGAGAGCTCGAGGGAGGTTGGGAGGCGGTTGGCGAATAGCCAAGTGCTAAGTGTGTCAGAACTGGATGGACTAAAGACTGAGGTGGGTTCCTTTGAGTCATTATCTTTGAATGCTAGGATGGCCCAGGATTCTGTCGCTGGGATGTCATAGCGAGTAAAGAGTTCCTTGGAAGATGATACAAATACCGGGGGCGACCCGAGGAGCAACTGCGAGTCTTTAGTGACCTCACTCTGAAATATTGTCAGTACTAAACATGGCACATAATGCGGTGCACGTACGACAATATGTTCATGTGATGAAGAAAGTAGGACATACGCAACAGGATTTTCATGAACAACCTTGTCAAGATCATGAGCGCTTATTGGTTGCATGGTCCTGGAGCAGACATTTAAAAGCGCCTTATGACTCCAGAAAATTGTCCTTACGGAGATGCTGCCTTGTCAGCGAAAGCCACAAGTGGCTCGTATTTTCTACTTCCTGAGTACTCTGTCTTTGCTCCGTGAGAATAGTAGAACAGCATAGGATAACCTGTGACCCCTTGCTTCGAGCATAGCGACTTGAACTCATCACAATTGACTTCAGCGATATTGAGCTTGTGCTGCATGCGACGAGCAACCTGTGTCCACGTTGGAGCAAGTTTCTTACAGTGTCCGCACCTAACAAACGGCTATTAAGACAAATTTTGGTCTATAATTGATGCAGCGTACCACGGTGCAAAGAACTTGACAAATGTAGGCGCCTGCGACACAAAGTTGTCGAATGTCTCGCTAGTTAAGGATATCACCTCTCCCAAAGGGTTGGATTCTGCCTGCGACACATGGACCACCGAATTCTCCTCTACAGGAACGATTTCAGCTACCATTTCCTCCTGCTCAACCGCAGTAGAGGATGACAAGGAATTTGCGGTATGATCAGCACGTGCAAGAAGGAAATCAACAAGGATATCGAAGTCACGATCTTTAGTGAAGGTCTCTACAAACAGCCCATTTCGATAAAGGTTCATTTGAGGGTATCCTGTAACACCGTTCTCGGTGCACAAGTCTTCCACGATTGAGAAGGTCTATCAGTGGCCCGGAAAATTTGTAGAGCTCGCTCACCTCCATTCAATGCACAATTCACTTGTGCCAGATGTATCCCTAGATCAGGTTTCTCTTTCTCAAAATTGTCTACTACACGGTTCCATGTCGGTTCAAAGTTGCGACAATGCCGACAATATGGGGAAAAATGTTCGATGAACCTACTCTCCTTGTTGAAGAAAAATAAGGGGCTCTATGCAAAAGACGCACCAAACACCATCTGCGATGGTCTGCTTGAAATCTTGAGGGGTCAGGACCTGTGAGGCTGCCGCCGGGGCGGCAGCGGCTTGAAGTACGAACCATGTTGTGAAAAGTGACAATGACGAAGATAAAGAAGTGAATCTCATGCCAGCATGGAATCCAGACTACTAATAGCAGTCCTCAGGCAAGAATATGTATGACTTGATGATGGCAGTTAAATGTGAAGTTGTGGTGAGTGCTAAGCGCTTATGATGACAATGCAAGATGGCTATGTATGTATTGTTTGGTTCTTGCTCACTGCCATGATCGATGGAGACATACTACTACTCTCAGTTTAATCATGCGGTTGTTCGTGTGGCTTTATTCGATGATGTGATGAACGCTGCCGCCATCAGGTCTCGTATTGTTCAAGCCGCTAGAAATCTCGGTGTTGATGGGAATACTGAACGTGAAGCTGTCAACTTCGCCTTCATTGATGCACGCCTGGTAGAAATGTTGACTCCGGTATTTATGCATTGTTACTGACTACGTGTCCCAGATATCAAGCCCACTTCACCTCCAGACAGCAATCTATCAGGCGCTTTTGTCAGAGGCGCAGGGTCAACTTCGGACTAAAACTGTCCACTCAGAGATACTATGGGCACTGAACCCCACCAATAATGTACGCGTAGCCATCTACTCGATGATTGTTTAATTTCACTGTTAAAAATGTCTTTAGATCACTGAAGCCATCCGACGATATGGGGTATCGGATGAGTCGACCACACTCATTGTTGTCCGTGTAGATGTCTCAGATACCCCTGATCTACAGCGTCGCATGTGCGACGTTATCCAAGGGTGTATGGTTCCTTTTCAAGCGCTAGTTAAAATGACGGATTGGTCAATTATCAAAAAGGTGTGTAACAACATATTAATACGATATCAAGACTCTCATCTCCTTTCCAGCATTATAAATTGGATTCGGAGTCGGCCTTGAAAGAGGTGCAAGGGAACCTAGATCGTGAGCGTTCCATCATCGACAATATCGTTGTAAGTTCGGTAGCGATGAAGAATGTTATGGCATGAATTTGATTACTGGTGACATCCAGCAATCATCCATATCACTCATATACGCGATGATGTCAGGTTATGATATCGTTAGTTTAAGGTGCCACGACGAAGTATGATGGCTGACATGACTGAAGGTACAATGATGGCTGACAGTGGTTGACGATGCTGGCAGGACTGTCAACCTCCAAATTCTGGCTAACATATATATACACCTCCGCATCTTTTGAACAACCAGTGTACTGCTTTCATCTTGCCATTGTCTTACTGCTTTACCATGGCCCCCACATCTACTCTCATGTTACTTTCCGCAGTGCATTCAACCTCTGTCCTCTCAGGGCCCCTCGTCACTCCTTCGACCATTTCGCCCACCGGCACGACTGTCCTTACCTATCATCTTTGGAAAGGTGGCCTCGTGTGCTTCGCAGTTGCTATCGTTTCCGTGGTGGGATATTTCTACCGTCGTCATCGCAAAGACACTATGTCCAAGCTGGCCGGCATTGTACCACCAGTCATTCTGCCCCGCGATGGTTCAGTACTATTCTCGCCATCCGACACGCCATATGATACATCTCTGGCCTGCGATCGTTCAGCAGTCCAGTTGGGAAGTAATCAACTAGTCAAGCATGTTGCCTCCACATGCAACGTTGACGTGGTATGTGGCTGCTTTCCTATCGCCATGGCTCCAGATGAGGCTGACATTGTATGGTTCCAGATTCCCATGGTCCAAACTGGTACTGCGATTACTAGCCAAATAACCGATGATCAACTGCGTGTTGGCCAGTATAGGGAGGTGGACGTTACGGAGGCAGACTACGATTGTGGACTTCAGGTATGTAATACTAGTCTCGTATCATTATCATCAACCACTTATATTTGACTCGTAGATTTCAGTCCCTACTATCGCTATAACTGTCGCCGACGAGAATTTTGTCAGTCCCTTGGTGCGTAACCCCACTTCTTTTGACATCGGTGGCTGACTGCGGTACTTACATAGTCTTTCCAGTGCGCTTTAGGTCTATTCGAAAAGAAAGAGGACGAACCCCAGCATGAGGAATCTGATGACGATATCTCCATTTACTCTTCAGAATCCGCAGAGGCCACTCTTCATGATTCCCTACTGTCGGAGACCGCCGAACCACACATAGACGTCCCAGAAATCACTTGCGAGCATTACATGACTGTCGTTGCATGCGAGTCGCCTCCCCGATCGTACAACTTCGACATTTCAGTCGTCGGTACAACACTTCGGGGTGGTGCCTTCCTTACTCTACCAGGTCCTCTACCCTCTCCTTCGACCCTTCCCACTGGACCACGTTCCCCTAATGACCGTCGACATGGTCTGGTCGAAATGTCTGACTTGGCTAGTGCACTCGCGATTAAGCTCAATTATCCTCCCTCGGATATCGTTCTCCAGGCATTCGACATGTCTCCTATTGCGCCCATTGCGCGTCGCCATGGACAAGTGGATTTCAGCAAATTCGCGGATGCTCTTAACGTGGAAAGTGGCATCCCTCCGCGATGCCACCGTTCTCTTGCTGAAACGCATCTCTTCGGTGAAGAGCAGGAGGACTATCAAGATAGCAATTCCCGCCTGATGGATGATCTTCTGCAGTCTATCGATGAGGAAGTCGAATTTTACAATAGCTTCAGTTGTGACGAGGGGCGCAACGACATCTCTGACGACACTTGTCCAGCGAGCAAACATACTTCTCCAACATGGGACTACTTAGACTTCCTCGAGAACGAGACTCGTTCTTTTCCCTTCCAAGAGGATGCTGACTTGCATCTGGAGCTAAATGGCTATAACGAGCAACTTTCTCCGACGCCTGACTATCCAGGTTCCTTAACCGACGAAGAGGCCATCCTCCAAGGTTTTTTCGAGGGCCGTGCGCTAAGCTCCATTTCCAAAAAGGGTGAGTACGGTACCGACCACGAGCTCACGTCGGACCTTCAGCAGCTCTCCATGGGCGAGTCGGAAACATCCCTAAACCATGTCTCTGGTGGTACCTCAGAGTCTGCGATCCTCGACCTTATCCGACTTCTTGACAAACAGACTGATTGCCAACAGCCTGTCCGCGATTCAATCTTGGAAGTCAACAGCGATGGCTTCGACCTCCTTCGGTTTGTCAATGAGGACTTGCGACTTTTCGCGGATGACAAGTATCCAATTGTCAACTTTGACCGTGACGACGATTGCGATGACGAGAATTACCCCAGGTTTCTTGCGACCCCGTCCGACTCAAAGTCCTCATTGTCGGAAACTGAAGATGGGTCTGTTGACGATTACGGCTCGACCCCCTCCCTGGCATCCGGCTCGGATATAGACTCAGATGATGATGAAGTTATCATCGCTCCGATAACAGGTCGTATCAGCCCCCTTTTCCCTGGTTCTAATCACCGTCGCTCGCCCGCCGGGTGCTTCTTTGTCACCCTCGCCACCCCAATTCAATCCAGCCACCTGATTGATGCACACTCGTGTATCGATATAACTAATGGTGAGCCACGAATACAGAGTTTCACTGAAGGTTGTGTCCCGTTCACGGACGAACAATATTGGTCTGGGATCCCAACTAATGTCAATCTCGCGTCTAAGGAATTCTCGCAGCTCGACCTCGATATTCAATTCGGTGACGATGCCATGATACCTTAGAGTCTTGTATCGAGGGCGAGGAGTCCTTTTGGAACTGGATCGACAGGGCGATGCGTCAAGAGCATATCTCTATCGCTGGACGTCCACATGTCAACTGTCGACCTTCACCTCCAGTTTCAACTCTGACGCAACATTCGTTTCGATTCCCTCATCTTTCTAGCAGCAGATTTTCTCGAACTTGCATCGTGTCGGTTTCTATTTGCATCTCAGTCTCGATATCATACAGAAAACGACAAAACCCCATATTCTCGTTCTTTCTATGTCTTGGTATTCCTCTTTGGTCTTTTCCTATTTTATTTTCTCTTCAACTTCAACATTTCCGGATAACTTGGTAGTGCTCCCATTTATTTTTGATCTTGTGTGCTTTATTTTTTATTTTTTATTTTGCAGCATCACAAGATCCCTCTACCCCTAAATCTTGTAAGATCTTTAACTCCCCTCTCGTTTCCACTTCGCTCACTGTCTCTCTGATTGTTTGCAGTATTCTATCACATTCCCCGCGCACTTGCGTCATCACCTTTGTAAGGCTTCCTGAATTCCTACCTTTTCCTACCATGCTTACCACCATTTTGCGCTCTGGTTCTTGGAAGTTTATCCTTGCAGTCGTCAGTTCATTTTGTAGCACTCTCGAAGACATCCTCACGTCATCATCTTTGTAAAGTTTTTTAGTCATCGCGCCTTCTATGACTAACCTGTGATTTCTTACGCAGCTCCGATCATTTGGATCATTTGCAGTCGGCAATTTTCGTTTTGCAGCAGGATCCAAACGCCATACCTTGCATTCTCGCGATGTACCTGATACCTCGCATTTCCTGCTCTGGTTGTCCAAGGCCACCTTCGCAGCCCTGATTTGTTTTGTATCATCCACAAGACAGGACAAGTCTCCCTCACGACGACAGCATCGTGCGTGATGTTTGGGTAGCCTTACGATAATCTCTCGCACGGCTCCGATACTTTCTGGTCATTATTGCAGGCTCGTTTCCGTTCGCAGTTCAGCACCATATGATATCTCAGCCTACCCTTGCCCTCTGCCGTCCTTGCGTTGTTCCAGATGCTCGTGGCTCTCACGAGCTTACCACACTTTCTTGAACCATTCTGATCGGCCGTGGGTATCCTCCTCTCTCCTGCAGCTCAGCACCGCATGATAGCTCAGCCTATTCTTGCCTGTCTTCCGTCGTCCTTGCGTGGATTAAAATGCCCACAGTCCTTTACGAGCTTACCGCACTCGCTTACACCACTTCAGTTGGTCGTGCGTATTTTTCTCCTCTTCCGCGTCGTAGGGCACCACCGCGTGATATTCCGGCCTACCCTTGCCTTCCGTTGCTCTTGCATGGAAAACGCTCGTGGCTCTTCACGAACCTACCACACTTCCTGAACCACCTCGGCTGGTAGTGGATATCATCATCATCATCATCATCATCATCATCTGCGCCTCAGTTTAGCACCCCTAGCCTACCATTACCTCCCGTCGCCCTTGCATGGTTTCAAACACCCGTAGCCCCTGCGAGCTCACGACACTTTCTTGCACCACCTCAGCTGGTCGCGGATATCATCTTTGTCTCCCCGCAGGGCAGTTTGTCATCCCACGATGTCTTATCCTACCCTCGTTTTCCGTTCCCTCTTTGCTGCCGGTATGCAGCACCCGGAAGTGTGTCCTACACGTCAGGTGCAATCTTCGTAATCATGCATGGTCGCTCTTGTTTCCGGGCGTTCATATATCATCCTCGGATAACAATGGCTGACTTTGACTTGCGATATTCACTACCACCGTCATTCCTTGACAATGGCTTCCCATGTCTACTACTTTCGTAGCGACTTGCAGAATAGCATGATATGCAGGACCCTTCACACCTTTGACGGCTTGTTCCAACCCACCGAGTCCTTCACGACCTCTTACGACTTTTACGACTTTTACGACTTTCATGAAATTCACGACTTTCACGACCTTACGACTTTATGACCTTAACGACTTTCACGACCTTCACGACCTTCACGACTTCTCATGATCCTTCACGACCTCATCGAGAACCTTCACCAATTATCCTGACCTTTGCAACTTGTCAACACCCCTATCACCTTCCATATCGTGCGTCCTGTGTGACCATCCGCGGAGTTCCACCCCAGCGCGTTCTTCCTGCCGCGGCCTTCTTGTAACCAGTTGCTCGGCCGCACAAAATGCAAGCGTTTCATGGCCTACCGACTTGACGAGCTTCGCAACCTCTCATGCCTCTCGAGACCGTTCATAGCCCTTCGATCCACTATGGCCTGCTGCAAATACTGGTATGTGAACAATCACTACTATATAATTTGCTTTGATACGTCACCTGCAGTTCGGCAAATTGCACCCTTCACTTCGACTCCATGATGACCTCGAGACCATCCATGACCGATCCTGACCACCCTACCCACTTCGGATTGCTACAAACATTGGTACGTGAAAAAGTACTGTGTTACACGATCTCCTGATTCACCGCATGCAGTTCGGCGACTTGCACCCTTTTAATTTACTTCAACTTCACTTTTATAACTTCTTTCTGTCCTATTTTTCTACTCTTATGGCAGCACCTTTTGTAATTTTGTGAATATGATTATCCCCCTGCCAAGTCATAGCGTGAATGAGTTTGTCAATTTTGATATTTGGCGACGGAAACTCTGATAGTAGGTCTCTGAAAGCTTCCTTGTCACTTGAAGCGTCAAAAATCATGTGTAATGCACAAGTAATATTTGTACAAACACAACAGGCCTCGAGGTTTTCAATCAATACTAAACCAAACATCCACGGAACCTCGCACCAGTTCTACAGCCGCGCTTTTCCCGTCATGGCGAAACGCTGAAGCATCGCGAACCCGCTGCCCTTTGGAAATTGGCACGGCGGGGCCAAATAACCACCCTTGCAACCACGCAGCAATCCCACCTGAAAACTTAGAAATATTGATGTGTTGCAACTAAACAAATTCATACCCTTGACTGGTCCAAAAGGCCCAAACCCAACAATGCGGAGAATCGTGAGAAGAAGATTGGCATTGACAATATTGACAGATAGCATTCTAATCACAGAAAAGCAGAGTGCGTGACCTGATTGAATTCCCGTTGGATCCAATCCTGGCTGATTAAGGACTGAGTACTGATTGGAAGTCTCGACTCTCGCGCAAGGGTCAAAGTAAATGATGGGTCCTGGGTTGTCCTGAGGACTGCGTCAAACATTGATTTTTCCCTAACAGGGTGCATGAAATACCGCTGCCTACTACGGATATATGTTGGATATATGATACTGACCGACGAGCGAACTTCAAGTATCAAAAATCGTGCATGTAAGTAATATTTGTACAAACGTAACAGAGGATTGAGTTAGTCGCGAACCAAACATTCACGGAACCTCGCACCAGCTCTACAGCCGCGCGCGCGCTCCTCCCATCATAGTGAAGCACTGAAGCATCGCGAACTACCTGCGCTTTGACACGACGAGGCCAATTAAGTACCATAGCAACCACATAACAATTTTACCTAAAGATGTTATCAGTATTGAAACATTGATGTGTTACGACTATATACAAAATCGTACCCGTCACTATCTGGAGAATCATAGGAAGAAACCCTTGGGAAAGTAGCATCATGATGCCAATCGCAATGTCCGGAAGCCACGCAAGGTATGTGTGCTGCTCCCTAAAATCTCCTGTATCATCATTTATTAGTTTATCAACGTTCCGGAACAGTTATTTATTAATGACACACCAATGGTCACAACATGTTTAACACCTGACTTGAGAGAACCTGTCAGACTTTGGAGGCGTCTCTTGCTCACTCCGAGCTCGCCGACGACCTGCAAAGAATATTCCTCAACGCGATCAAAAACTGCATTCGTCGTGGCCATGCGCTTCTCATGACCAGGAGCTTCACTGGGTGGCGGAAACCGTTTTTTGAGCCCTTCAAATACGACGCTGAAAGCGTTTCCAAGGTATTCTGATATGGTGCAGAAAGAAATGCCGCATTGTTCTGAGAGTTTTTTGATGAATTGGTACATTGCAGTTTAGTGCTAGGATAGACGACCGTTGGCTCACTGTGCAATGGGGCACTGGACATATATATATGTGTGTAAAGAATTCCTGCAGGATTCAATTCACCAAGTCACGTATGTAACAGGTTGATAATCGAAGCCTTCATGGCATGAGGCAACATGCAGTAACACATACCTAATCCTTGAGGCGCCTTGAGGGCTCTTGAGGGTGTGTGTACATCAAGCACTGCACGTTGAGTTGCCTAAGATGGTTGGTCCGCTATTATGTAACATGCCAACTAAAGCCGTTGATGCAGCCGATGAATACCCGTCAGATCATGTGCATCACATCTTTTTTTCATGACTTGCGAGCATTATGTTACTTCAGCGCTATAACAAAGATATTACTGTGACAGTACAAGATTCAACAGAATTGCGTCGTGCGTCACTTTTGCAGGTCATAAGCAAGTGCCGACGCGAGAAACCGTAAAGTCGATGTGTCCAGTCTGAAAAGCAGAGTGCGTGACCCGATCGAGTTCTTGTTAGATAACAATGCTTGGTATTAGCAAACTGCCAAGGACTGATATCAGAAGTCTTGCAAAAGGACCGAAGTAAATGGTGGGTCCTAGGTTGCTCGGAGGGCTGTGTCGAACATTAATTTCACCTCACGGGTATTACACGAAGTCCCGCTACCTACTATGGATATATGCCGCTGACCAACGAGCGAACTTCAAGCATCAGAAATCATGTACTACATGCAAGTAATATTGTACAAACGTGACAGGGTTTCAGTCATGGACCATACATTCACGGATCACGGAACCTCGCACCAGTTCTACAGCCGCGCTCCTCCCATCATAGCGAAGCGCTGAAGCATCGCGAACCAGCTGCCCTTTGTCACAGCGGGGCCAAATAACCACCCTTGCAACCACGCAGCAATTCCGCCTAAAAATGTTATAAGATTATTGTGTTGCAACTATACAAGATCGTACCCTTCATTGGTCCCAAAGGTCCAAACCCAACAACGCGGAGAATCGTGAGAAGAATCCCTTCGGCAAATAGCATGCTAATCACAATGCCCGAAAGGGCCCACACGAGGTATGGATGCTGCTCGCTAACGTCTCCTGTATCATCGTTTGATGTTAGGTTCTCAACATTCCGGAGTCATTTATTTGTGACACACCAATGGTCACGACAACGTGTTTGAGACCGGTCTTGAGAGAACCTGTGAGACTTCGGAGAAGTTCATTGCTCACTCCGAGTTTGCCGACGACCTGCAGAAAACACTCCTCAACGCGATCGAGAACCGTGTTCATCATGTTCAGGCGCTCTTCATGACCGGGAGCTTCATCGGGTGGCGGAAACTGTTCTTTGAGCTCCTCAAATAAGACGCTGAGAGTGTTTCCAAGGTCTTTCAATATGGTGCAGAGAGGAATGCCGCGTTGTTTTGCAGCTTCTTTGATGACTTGGTAGAGTGTCGTGGTTGTGCCAACGACACTATCTACAGCCGCCCTCAATTCTGCTATCTTGTCAGAGGGATAGAATTCCCTGGCACGCTGGAAAAATACATCTGTACAACCCTTGGTATTTGGAACGAAGCCTGCAGCTTTGTCCCAGCAGGACTTTCCAACACTTGGAAAGTGCAATCCACCATACAACATGTGTGCTGAAGCAGGTAATGATCCAAGTTTTCCTGTCAGGCTGCCGACCGTTGCAGCGCCTTGGCCATATAACGCGCCCGCGACTTGCGATGACTTGTCAAAAAGTGCTGTCAATCATTTCTGACATCAGTATATGATTCAAAAACAGTAATTTCAATTGGACGTACACTTTCTCACTACTCCCCATCCTTGTCCTAGGTTAAAATGTAACATTCGTCGTGAGATAAAAGTGCAACAAACCTGTCTCGGTGGCGCTTTTATCAGAAGAATGAGTGCTTTCTTCAACGTTGCCTGAAGGAACTGGTCGCAGTGTTGATGCCAGAGTAGAGAGCCGATTCATTGCAGTATACTGTTGGGTCACTGTGCAATTGGGCATATAGTATATGCGAGGACCTTCTGCGGGATTTGAGGATTCGATTCACCAAGTCACTTATGTAACAAGTTGATAATCAAATACTTCACGGCATGAGGCAACATGCAGGTTCACATAACCAGTAAACCTTAAGCTTGAGATGGGTAAACGTCTTCGTCAGCCTGTGAACTTCTCAGCCAATTTCAATATTATGGTCATGAGAGGCTTCCCTCTAATTAAGGATTTTCGAAGGCCTTGATCACTAGTGTATGATTTGATTTCTCGAGTTCGTGCGTTTCAGATTATGCATCACTAAGAGGCATCATGATCCCAGCGCTACAACAAAGGTGATGTTGCTATGAGATTGCGAGATTCAACAAAATTGTGTGCGCTATTACCGCCAAGTTTGATGGAATTGCGGGATGGGATGTGTGACATGTTTGCAGGTCGTAAGCAACACTGGCAGTGAAGTTAATGCTGTCTAGTCTGAGTCGCGAAAAGCAAAGTGCGCGGCCTGATTGAATCTTCAAGTTGTTGGATAACAATCCTTGGTATCAGCAAATTGACCGGGACTGAGTACCGATATAAGGATATTGCAAGCCTTGCGCAAGGACCATAGTAAATGGCGGGTCCTCTGTGGGTTGCCTGGAGGGCTGTCTCAAACATTAATTTTACTGGTCACAGGGTGCATGAAATCCCTATGGATATACGACACTGACCAACGAGCGAATTTCAAGCATATGCCATATCAGAAATCATATACATGTAAGTCATATTTGTACAAACGTAACAGGTCTCAACAGTTTCAGTCATGGATCATACACTCACGGAACCTCGCTCCAGCTCTACAACCACGCTCCTCACACCATGGCGATGTGCTGAAGTATCGCGAACCAGCTACCTGCCGGGACAGCCCCGCCAAATACCCACCCTTGCAACCACGCAGCAATTCCACCTAAAATGTTATAAATATTGATGCGATGCAACTATACAAATAACAAAATCGTACCCTTCACTGGTCCCAAGGGCCCAAACCCGAGAATCGCAGGAAGACATTGGGATAATAGCACGCCAATCACAATGCACACAAGGGCGGCCACGAGGTATGGATGCTGCTTGGTAATATCTCCTGTATCATCATTTGATGTTAGTTTATCAACGTTCTGGAACACTTATTTATTCATGACACACCGATGGTCACGGCAACATATCTGACACCCGTTTTGAGAGGACCTGTCAGACTTTGAAGGAATTCCTTGCTCACTCCGAGCTTGCTGAAGACCTGCAAAAAACACTCCTCGACACTATCAAGAATCGTGGTCATCTTGTCCATGCGCTTTTCATGACCGGGAGCTTCACTGGGCGGCGGAAACTGTTTCTTGAGCTTTTCAAATAGGGCACTGAGAGCGTTTCCAAGGTGTTTTAATATGGTGCAGAAAGGAATGCCGCATTGTTCTGCAACTTTTTCGGTGAATTGGTACATTGTAGTATAGTGCTGGGATAGTAGACGACCGTTGGCTCACTGTGCGATTGGGCACTGGACATATATATAGGTGTAAGGAACTTCTGCGGGATTCGATTCACCAAGTCACTTATGCAACGGGTCGATAATCGAAGCGGCGTTCATAGCATGAGGCAGCATCAACACATACCTAAGCCTTGAGGCCTTGAGGGTGTGTGCCATGCACATCAAGCACTGCAGTACGTACACGTAAATGTGCAAGTGCAGGGCGGAAACCAAATGGACCCACATGATTCACATGCCCAGGCTTCCAAAGATTGTGATCTACCCCAAAGCGAGATTTGAGTTGTAGGGTCAGAAGGACTTATCACGAAGGTCACCAGTTTGTGTGCCGCTATCCATTAAGGATATTTGTTTGGCCCCAAAACCAAAAAGCGCCTTGTGCATAGGTCTGGACACTCAGTACTCAGTACTCAACGTCAGATTCTGTTTTATGAAGATGGCGCAAATGCTCACGAGATATGAACATTTCTGGCATTGAAGAAGCCATTTAAAACATTGCACTGTTAGAGTTTGGTATTTCACCCTTCGTCATCGTTCGTTGTTCGGATAGTCTCGACTACGTATATATACCTACGTCGTAGACCATCCTCTCTTTGTCGCCTCCCACCATGTTGTAGACACATAAAACAAGGTCGCTCTCCAGCTTTAACATTCACCTGTCATGGCTATGCGCTGCAGTATCGAAAACCAGCTACCTGCTGGGATAGCCCCGCCAAATAACCACACTTGCAACCATGCAGCAGGAGTTCCTAAAATCATCACATCAATGGGGCTGCTCAGTGCCGCAACCATATAAAAACATACCTGCAATTGGTCCCAATGGCCCAATTCCATATATCTTGAGGGCTAAGAGTAAAAAACACGGTCCATATAGTTGGGCAATCACAATGCACAAGAGGGCAATTGCAATGTACAAGAGGATCCATGCAAACCGAGTGTGCTGTTCGTAATGGTCTCCTGTATCATTTAATATTCAATCATCAACGTTCCACGACGGTTAAATACTTGCGACGTACTGATGATCCTTAAAATATGTCGAACACCGGACATGAAAGAACTGGTGTGATCTTTCAGGACTTCTTCACTTGCTCCGTACTTGATGGCAACCCGCAGAAAAGTCTCCTCAACACGATCAAGAACTGTGTCGATCATGAGGGTACGATCCTCGTAGCTGGGAGCCTCCTCGGGTGGCGGGAACTGCTCTTTAAGCTCTTCAAATAGGACATAAAAGGAATTTCGAAGTTCTTCTAATACTGAATCGAAAGGAATTTCGCATTGTTCTGCGGCTCCTTTAACGACTTGGTGCAGTGATGTAGCTGTACTGGCAATACTATTCACAGACTTCTTGAGCTCCGATATCTCTGAGGGATAAAGTTCCTTGGCATGTTGGAAGAGTTCAAGTTCGTATAATACATTCCCTTGGATATTTGAACTAAGCCCCACAATTTTGTCCCAGGACTCTCCCACACTTGGAATGTGCAATCCATCGTACAGCATGTATGCTGAAGCAGACAAAGAGTCAAATTTTTCTGTGAGACTGTTGGTGCCTTCATGACTGAGCAGGCCATCAAAGTGACCGCGTAACGTTTCTGCAACTTGCATCGACTTGCCGAACAATGCCGCTGTTAATATTTTCTCATTAAATGATTGAAAATGGTAGCCATGGATGTACTCACACTTCCGAACTAGTCCCCATCCTTTTCCGAGACGAAATCAAAAGTCTCCTCTTAGAGACCAAGAGGCGACATACCTCCCTCGTTGGCCACCTCTAAACCTTTATTATCGTAAGAACAAGTACTTTCTTCGACATTGTTGGAAGCGACAAGTTGCAATGTCAATGCAACAAATGCTAGAGTAGAGAGCCACATCGCCGCAGTACTAGGACTTTTTAATACAGATGGCCCGACGGTTTCACCGCACTAATCGCATGGACCTATCAGGACCTACACGATTCACACGCCCACGCCATTATGTAGTATCAGCTCCCCAGCCAGCTCAGACCTGCAAAAAAAACAGGGAAGGCCGAATAGACTGCTCGACTGGGTTGGATCCTAGGTTCAATTTTATGATGCTCAAGCACATTTACAACATATAATCTGGAATACACAAAAATCGTCTCTTAAGTATAAACATAAAGACAAACCCCAAGGGTTTTCAATGACATGAAACAAATGACTGCTGAAACCCGAACAACTTCAATGATACTTAATGCTTTGTACTCATGGCTAGGCGCTGAAGCACTGAGAACCAGCTACCCGCAGGGATGTTGGCACCAAATATCCAATGTTGCAACCACGCAGCAATTCCACCTAAAACATCATGATGATATGCTGCTCAGCATCACAACAGTATACAAAAGTGTACCTTTGATTGGCCCTTGCCACCTAAATCCAAAAAAGCGGAGAAGCCAGGGAAGAAGCCATCCACCAATCTCAATCTCAGGTAACAATAAGGGATAAAACTCTACAATCGCAACGAGCAAGAGGGTATGGGCAATGTCAGGATGCTGTTCAACAAGGTCTCCTGTATCATTTAATATTATGTCGTCACTGTTCCGGAATGGCCAGATGCTCGCGACGTGCCTGTGGTTACAGCAACATGTTGAACAACAAACTTGAGAGGAGTAGAGTGACTTTTTAACAGTTCTTCGCTGATTCCAACCTTGGTGGCGACCTGTGAAAAACTTTGCTCAATGCTGTCAAGGGCCGTGCTGATCATGATTGTACGGCTGTCATGACCAGGGGCCTCATCAGGAGGCAGGAACATCTCCATAAGCTCTTCGAATAGGACAATGAAGATATCCTCATGTTCTTCTATTATGGAGTAGAGAGAGACGCCACTGTTCTCTGCAGCTTGACTGCAGACTTTGTGCAGTACAGTGGCAGTGGCAGTGACGTTGACCATAGATTCCCTCAACTCTGTGAGCTTCTCAGATGGATACAGCTCCACGGCATGATGAAAAAGCTCATCGGTATACTCCTTGATATATGGACTGAGCTCAATGATTTTGTCCCAGAAAAACTCTGCTGTGTCTAGAAATTGCGATTCGTACCACGTGTGTTGTGCTGAAGCAGACAAAGAATCAAACTCTTCTGTTATGTTGTAAGTAGTGTCTTAAGAAATGAGTAGGCAATCAAATTGACCGTGTATTGTGTCTGGGATTTTCGAGGGATTGTCAAATAGTGCTGTCGATCATTTCTAATGTCAGGAAGTGATTGAAAAGTGAGTGTTCATACTCACATTTCACCGCTCCCCATCCTTTTCCTAAATTTAACTTGATGTTCGTTGTAAAATAAGAGTGTGACCTACCTTGTTCGATTTTTCTCGAAAGTATTGGTTTGAACGTTGCAGCAGTTGCCAATGTGACATATGCTAAAGTAGAGAACCACATGATAGTTGACCATCAACAGTGGTCGGAGTCTTGGACCTACAAGGACTTGATTCTTTATGTAACAGGTTGAAGCTTCGAAATGATGGCGGCCTTTAGTGACTTCATCATGATGAAGCACATTGATGTATGTTCAATAATCTGAGAGCATGGCCATGACCCCATAGTAGCTAAGCATTGCCATTAATCCCATGCAAAATTACTAGTATTTGTAAATTGTAGCGATGTTGAGATATTGAGAATTATATATGGATCCTGACATGAGCGACAGGGAGAACTTTGGTTCGGGCCGCAGCTACCAAATGATCCCGCATTACGCAGATGCAGCTGTCAGTATTATTGTTTCTTCAATGTTAAATTGACGTTGTAACTGTGCTTCTGCGCTTGGAAGATGGTAAGTTTCGTCAAATTCCAGTATGCTGAACTTCTCTGTAGCCAAGTTGGCGTTAGCGCGCATGCGATGTGCCACTCCTCAGGTATGCAATCTTCGCTTTTCATCGCCAGCTTGATTTCCCATTGGGTGGATCGTAGTCTTTTCTCTATCGCCACTTACATTTCTTTGTATCTATTATATCCCTTAGTAACAAATTGACGAATGCAAAGTTGTTTTTGCTCGAACAAGTCAATCAGGATTTGTACTACAAGAATCACCCCAGCGTGAGGGAACTGAAACAAGAACGATCGCCGGCAACAATATACAGTAAGAATGGTAGTGCTGAGTACTGAAACTCTAGGTAGTGAAAGGTTGCAAGTTGAAGGCACGACAGAACTTATTGCATTTACGTGCAGACCTGAAATTGTTAAAAGCAGATATGTAGTTTCCTCCGCCGAAATTGTTCATAAAAGCCCTGGATACTTGTGTTAGTATGACAGTCCAAGGCTAAGTAGTACCAGCATGGACTCACGACCCTGTCAAGACTTGACAGTCGGTAAGGAGGTTACCAGAACCTATGCCAAGTACAGTTGGTTAGCTGTGGGTGGCGGTCAGGTGGGTAGTTGAGCACTCGCCTTGGAAATCAGGCAGATAAACTATGTTGTTAGTAAGGTGATACCAGACATGCTGCACGAAGCATAAAAACAATCCGATGACTGCTTCTCTCCCCTCTAAACTACAGGCAGGAAAACCTCACACCAGTTCTACAGCTGCGCTCTTCCCATCATGGCAAGGTGCTGAAGCATTGCAAACCAGCCGCCATCTGGCACGGTGGGATCAGAGGACCACCCTTGCAACCACGTAGCAATTCCACCTAAAAATTTATAAATATTGTGATGTGTTGCAACTATACAAAACCGTACCCTTCATTGGTCCCGAAGGCCCAAACCCAACTGTGTGGAGAGTTGTGAGAAGGAGCCCCAGGTCATTGGCAGATAGCATGCTAATCACGATACACAAGAGGGCCTGCACGAGCTTTGGATGCTGCTCATTGACGTCTCCTGTGTCATCATTTGATATCAGGTTGTCAACGTGCCAGAATGGTCATTTGATCGTGACACACCGATAGTCACAACCATATGTTTAAGACCAGTTTTGAGAGAACCTGTGAGACTTTCGAGGAGTTCCTCGCTCACTCCGAGCTTGCCAACAACCTGCAGAAAACACTCCTCGAAACGATCAAGAACCGTGTTCATTATGGTCATGCACTTCTCGTGACCAGGAGCTTCACTGGGTGTTGGAAATTGTTCTTTGAGCTCTTCAAATAGGACACTGAAGGTGTTTACAAGGTTATTCAATATAGTACAGAGAGGAATGTCACATCATTCTGCGGCTTCTTTGACGACTTGATACAGTGTCGCGGCTGTGCTGGCGACACTATCCACAGACTCCCTCAATTCTGTCATCTTGTCAGAGGGACAGAATTCCTTGGCATGCTGGAAGAATTTGTCTGTACACCCCTGGATATCTGAACCGAGACCAGCAGCCTTATCCCAACAAAACTTTCCAGCATTTGGAAAGTGCGAACCACCGTACAGCATGTGTGCTGAGGCAGGCAACGATCCAAGTTTTTTCGTCAAGCTGCCGACCATTACAGCGCCTTGACGAATGATGGGGTAATCAAATTGATCATACAACGCGCCTGCAAATTTCGATGGCTTATCGAAAAGTGCTGTCAATCATTTCTGACATCAGTCTAGTACATGATTGAAAAACAGTAATCTTGACTGTACTCACACTTTCTTGCTACTCCCCATCCTTGTCCTAGGTTAAAATGCAATGTTCGTCGTAAGATAAGAGTGCCACAAACCCGGGCCTGTCTCTGAGTCAGTGAGACTTTTGTCAGAGGAATGAATACTTCCGAGTCAACGCTGCCAGAAGTGACTGGTCATAGCGTTGATGTCAGAGTAGAGAGCCACCATGACTGCATCGCAGTATGATAGTGCTAGGATAGACGACCGTCACGGTTTACTCACACCGTGCAAGGCATATAAACCTACTGTATGTGATTCGATTCACCGAGTCACTTAGGTAACAAGTCGTAATCGATCTGATACATGATGCAGCAGCGCGGCCTTCATGAAGCTATATATGCACACGCAGTAACATATACCGCAGGTCCGCAGTGCGCATGTCGCAATCAGCGTGTTCAATTTAACCTTGAGGCCTTGAAGGTGCGTGTACATCAAGCACTGAGTGCTGAGTACTGCAAAGCAAGTGCAGGGTAGAGATCAAATGGACTCATGGCACACGTGATTCACACATGTTTTGCACATGTTCCCAAGGCTGATAAGATACATAACACTTGGCACTAGCACTATCTAGATTTGAACGCGTCTATAGGCTATCACCAGTTTGCCTCAGGAGTATACCGGATAACAGTCAGACTCCTCAATCTGTCGAGGAACCAGCATCCTTGGCTACACCACTAGGGAACATTTGAATGTGTGCCTTCTGAATCGTGCGAGTGCCATTAAGGAACTTTGGGATCAGATCTCTGCATCGAACAGGTCTTGCAGTAGAGTACTCGATGGCAGTAACTCTAGGGTCATTCTCTAAATATTGCACTTTCATGACCATGTTGATTATCCGCTGCCAACTCATAGCTTGAATGAGTTCACCTGCACACCGAGCTCCTGACCTTTGGCAACTACAGAAAACTTGAGCATGGGACCCTGCTTCCCAAGATGTGTATGCAGCTCGTTCGTCTTATCCACTAAGGATATTTGCTTGGCCCAAAAACTGAAAAGCGCCTTGCATAGGCTTGGACACTTGACGTTAGATTCAGTCTTATGAAGATGGCGCAAATGCTCACGAGCAAGCATGTTTACAAAGTAACATTTAACATGCACTTGATTATGAGATATGAGCATTTAATTACAGACATCACAGACCCGAGGTTTTTGATCTCAGGGATCAAACACCTACACGACTGGCATTGAAGCCATCTAAAGCATTGCACCTGTCATAGCTATGCGCTGAAGTATCGCAAACCAGCTACCTGCTGGGACAGCTCCGCCAAATAACCACACTTGCAACCATGCAGCAGCAGTTCCTAAAATCATCATGTCAATGGGGCTCCTCAGTACCGCAACTGTATAAAAACATACCTCTAATTGATCCCAATGCCCCAAACCCGAATATGCTGAGGGCTGTAAGAAGAAATCCCTGTGCAAATAGCAGGGCAATCACAATGCACATGAGGGTCCATGCAAGCTGAGGGTGCCATTCTTAAAGGTCTCCTGTATCATTTAATGTTAAATCATCAACGTTCCAGAACGGTGAAGGTACAACAATTCAGATGGTGAGTCTGAACAATGTGTTGGGTCTTGCAGAACCTAGCTGCTATTCGACCCTAAAGGGTTTCTGGACTAGGCTCAAGTCTCAGAGGAGAGGAAATATCATAAAAACTACTGAGGACTCTGACTCATACTGGTAACTGGTGAAAAGATTTATTGATTATGTAAGCTACAAAAGTGCCAACATAAGGTAAGGTAAAAACAGTCTCTACAAGCCCAGCCAGAAATGAATCCCTACAACGGTCAAATACTCGCGACGTACCAATGATCCCTACAATATGTCGGACACCGGACATGAAAGAACTGGTATGATTTTTCAGGACTTCTTCACTTGCTCCGTACTTGATGGCAACTCATAGAAAAGTCTCCTCGACATGATCGAGAACTGTGTTGATCATGAGGGTACAATTCTCGTGGCTGGCACCCTCCTCGGGTGGCGGGAACTGCTCTTTAAGCTCTTCAAATAGGACTTGCAAGGTATTTCGAAATTCTTCTAATACTGAATCAAAAGGAATTTCACGTTGTTCTGCAGCTCCTTTAACGACTTGGTGCAGTGATGTAGCTGTACTGGCAATACTATTCACAGACTTCTTGAGCTCCGATATCTTTGAGGGATAAAGTTCCTTGGCATGTTGGAAGAGTTCATCTACATTCCCTTGGATATTTGAACCGAGCCCCACAATTTTGTCCCAGGACTCTCCCACACTTGGAATGTGCAATCCATCGTACAGTGTGTGTGCTGAAGCAGACAAAGAGTCAAGTTTTTCTGTGAGACTATTGGTGCCTTCATGACTGAGCAGGCCATCAAAGTGACCACGTAATGTTTCTGCAGCTTGCATTGACTTGCCGAACAATGCCGCTGTTGACACTTTCTCATTGAATGATTGAAAATGGTAGCCACGGATGTACTCACATTTTACTAGTCCCCATCCTTTTCTGAGACAAAATCAAAAGTCTCCTCTCTAGAGACCAAGAGGTGACATACCTCCCTCGTTGGCCACCTCTAAACCTTCATTATCATAAGAACAAGTGCTTTCCTCGACGTTGCTGGAAAGGACAGGTTGCAGTATCAATGCAACAAATGCTAGAGTAGAGAACCGCATTGCAGTACTAAGCCTTGTGTACAGATGGCCTGACGGTTGATTGTTTTTTCACAGCATTAATCACATGGACCTACCAGGACCCACAACAATTCACACGCCCACACTATTATCCCCAAGCCACCTCGGACCTGCAACAAGAGGGAAGGCCAAATCATCAGTAAACGGATGATTCCTTGATAATGTAGCCATGGGAACTACAGAAGGACACAATTCTGTTTCTACTAAATAATATCATATATTCTGCGAGAACTTTTAGTTGTGAATATATAGTCATCAATGCCTGTACATTCAGAGTAACATGAGCGGCCCACAACAATGTTGTAATTTTCCTCCATTGTAGCAGAGAAGGGGTGTTAGTATACTGGTGCCCATGATTTTCAGCATTGTCATTTTGCCTTATTATTTTTTTGAATTACGACCTCATTGAAGACATTCTCATGACACATAGCTTTGGCACTGTTCAACACGTGTAGGATCTCATCAAAGTCGACCACAAAGTCATGACTCCGCGCCATCGCAACACGCATGGGATTTCGGCGCAGTCCTTTCGACTTTGTGGACTGTTCTTAATTTTCGCCTAGATTAAGATGTTGTTTCATGTTATCTATGCCCTTGTCGTACGAAGTAGCTTTGGCACTGTTCAACACATGTAGGTTCTCATCAAAGTTGACCACAAAGTCGTGACTCCGCACCATTGCAACACGCATGGGACTTCGGCATGCTCCTTTCGATGTTGTGGGCTGTTCTCAATTTTCACCTAGATCAAGATGTTGTTTCATGTTATCTATGCCCTTATCGTATGAAGTAGCTTTGGCACTGTTCAACACGTGTAGGATCTCATCAAAGTCGACCACAAAGTCATGACTCCACGCCATCGCAATGCGCATGGGATTTCGGTGCAGTCCTTTCGACTTTGTGGACTGTTCTCGTTCTTCCTCAGTCTGGTGAGTTTTACAGAGGCCAACAAACGGCAAAATTTAAATTTCTATCAGCTATAGACATAATTTTAACCTCGTTCAAGAGCTCATCGTTTTATCAATATAAGCTACTTTCCTGTATTGTCTGGCCCAAAGTTCCTGTATTACCTATACATGTCGCCTGTAGTTTGGTGAAAACTTCTAGTTTCATAGCGTTTTTAATGGTTGGGGGCCTTTGGGAAAAATGTCAAAGTACAGTTTGGCATTATCACCGGAAGAAAACTGGATGAGGAAGCTGCGTGGAGGGAGCTTAAAGCGTGGACAACGCTGTGAAACTCGCAAAAACCTGTGATGAAAATTTGAATCTGTAAGCTATAAGAATAATTCAGAGATGTGAGCAGAAAAATAAATAAAAAATGGACTTCTGCACACGAGGGAATCCTGGCTTGAATGGATTGGCACGATCCATACTATTCCTGAAGAACGCAAAATTTGAGATAGTAGGAACTTCCATCTACGCAGGAACAAGCATGAGTGCGTGGATCACTGTTCATCTAAACCAACTGGAACGTATGTAGGAGGAGAACTTGAAGACTTTGAAGCCACTCTTGTCGTCCATGTTGGAAAAACACATTGCTGACAGAAGCCTCTGCGCCAGAAAATTTATTACCTCAATGCATACTAAGAGAAAACATGGTTGTGTAATGTATGTGAAGAGGTATAAGTGCTCACCGTGTCAGCAATGTCACACATCATCATGATGTGCTTGATTCCCTATGAACGGCTTTAACTGTGGCAGATGAAGTCAAATAGAACTTCATTGTTGCAGAGTGACAATCCTATCATCGAGAGGTGCGCAAGCGAGAAACAATTGATCTTGGTTGTCCGGAGGAGCTTGAAAAACCCAACTTGCACGGCGGCCGTGTTCTGAGAAAAAGTGTTGGTCGATATTGGATCAGAACTGCGTCGAGGAATGGCAGGAACTCGAGAAGTCAACCAAGCATGAGGCCATGATTGTCAAGGTATGGCGGGTGGGTGAATAGCCTGAGTAAGCGCAGCATTCAAGTTGGACTTTAGCTCGTCAAAGGGTACAGCATGAATCATTCTAAACAGAGTCCGAGTTGGTAATCATTGTTCACTGATTTCGGATCGTCTCCATCAGCCTTCAGTTGGCAAGCTTGCTTATGCAGAATAGTGAGTAGTAGGCTGAAAACAAACATTCAAGTATTAGTAGTGCTAGTATTGCTAGGTAAGGCTGAACTATAGTCTGCTTCGCTCCAAGTTAGAAAGACAAACTGTCTTCCTTGTCCTTGTCCCCATCCTCACCATCTTCTATCCCCTCATCCAGGTCACTATCACTCTCATCATCAGACTCCTGTTCATTAGGGTCTTCATCATCTTCGCTGTCGTGGTCCTCTTCCTCCCCTCCGTCAAAGCTGTCGCATTTACTTTCGCTCTCCAAGTCACCAACATTACCATGCCCCTCCGGTTCCAGGCTATCCGCGAGGTCCACGTCTGCACAATCTCTTGCCATTCCTCGTAGGATGATAGGATGGCCAATTCCATGGTGCGTATAACGCATAAACATATCACGGTCCACGAATCTGTGTGATCATCAAAAGTTTGGTAAGGACAACAGGATGGAAGGTTGTACTTACATGCCAACATAATATCCTTCCCAGTCATCTAATTCATCACGTTGACATCCGAAGGACTTCCCATAGCGAAGAGACGTGGTACCACGACCGGAAGAAAAGGCCGGAATCAAATGAGCACTTCGGATGACCTGACCGGGATCAAGAAACCCAAATGTGTCAGGGTCAGACTCATCTACGAATGCGACCTTTGGAAGTCGAGCACAATTCATCCCTGACTGGTAGTCGGTCAGGCGCGCCAACCATCTGACATAGAGAACTTCAATTTGATGCCTTTTCACTAGACCTTCATTATTGAGCCACACATCCATATGGTAGATGCCCAGAACGCGGGCATACCAGTATGGATGTTGGGGCGCCATTTCCCCAGACAAAACCATAATATCAGGGTGTGTCAGAGTATTGATAGTATCATACTCTTGTCGTAAATCATAAGTCGTGTAATGAACCTATTGATTTGGAGAATCACGCTGCTAGCAACACTCGAAAAACGCGGAACATACCTGCATTGTTTGGACAGAATAAAGCCTATTGTCCGAGATGATAACCGAATTACGCTCATGATTGGAGAAGGTAGAGTCACAATGAGTGACATCTAAGTTTCGAAGTCAGTATAGTGCATGATCCTTGAGTTTTGGAATGAACCCCTGCATATTATTGTGAGTAAGGCGAACAACAGGGAAAGTGGCACCTACTGCTACAGCTGGATCATTGTCATGATCTCGAAGAAACTTGAAAATATCCAATGGGTTGTTGCGGCTACGCGTTGGTATATAGTGATGATCCTTTAAGTTGATTTCTGCAGGTAAGTCGACTGGTGGCTGGTACCAAGTATATGAGCTGTGTTCTGCCTCTGCTACTCGCCAAAGGACTCGTCGACGACGCTCATGCTTTGCAAGCTGAGCCGGGGTGTCCAATTTGCTGGTAAGCGGATAGAACACCTTAAGTGCTCTGTGTGCTAACTCTCCCTGCCAGACAACTCAAGATCAGACTCGGACATTATACCAAAGATGGGACATACAATTTGCGATGTATATGAGTCAACTGTTCCAAAAAGCCGGATTGACCATAGATAATCCCCCATGGCATGAAATTTATAAGTGTTCAGATTAAACTTCTTCACCTTTTTGCTGCAACTCCCAGCATCCGCATTGTTGAAACCCGAGCGTTCGCGCGCAGCCTTGCATTCTCGAGCAGCCCTTTCTTTCGGTAATTCTACAGTAGAGAAACTGGCACATGTCAAGTCGCAAAACTTACACAAATAATAGGACAGCCTTTTGAATGTCTCATCTAGCAGTGATAGGGTAGTGTCGGAATGCATTCTTAGTTTAGCAAGAGCGTGCCATTGGGCAAACCTGTATAAAAGTGACTGCACAATAGCATCATGATCTGCTGGGAAACGCCCCTCGAAGACCGGTATCGCACACTGAGGAATGTCACTAACATTCATCACCAAATAAGCCAGAAAGATGTACCTGCAGAATGTCCTCGAAGTCCCGTGCTGCAAGCCGTTTCATTTCTGACGTATTATTCGAAAATTTCCGAATGATCCCATTGCCATATGATGGGACGTGGCGAAATCTATGTTTAACGCGATTACCCTCAATCAGTAATGAAAATTGTATGCGACAAACCTATAGTCAAGACTTGCAACCAACTGGTCACCTCCGGGAAGCGCGTAAAGTAGACGGATAAGGTGTGTAAACAGTGCCTTCCATGTACCTAGCTCGCACTCATGCATAAAATCGACTACAAGCATACAAAAAGTGTCAAATCCAAGCGGTCCAAGCCTTTCTACAAAAGTGTTCTAGTTTACAATCAGGTACCAATTATAAGGGGAATGGTTCTCAAAGTACTTACCACAGTGTTAAGACCATGCACAAAGGGTAGGACTGATTCTGAGGGGCTTGGCTTCAGCTCGTGCGCTGCGCCCCTTACCCGAGTATGTGCCCTTAATTTCAGATTGGTGTCCGAGGAAAGTCTGAAGACGTCCGAAGGACATCCGAAGGCGCGGGAAACTTCGGAAGGACTTTCTGGACGGGTGCAAGTAACTTCCGGATGAGTGCGGGAAAGTTCCGGAGGAACTTCCGGAAATTACAATGAGGTTTCGTCCTGATACAGATATGTATAATGGCTACTCGGGACTTGTCCTGAGTAGAAGTAAACAGAGGAAAGGCTGCAAGGACAAAGTCCAAAGCAGAATAGGTCCGGAGGACCGCGGGAAAGATCCGGATGAACTTCCGGAAACTATGGAGGATCAGATGAGCGGATGAGCGGAGTATCAGATAAGCAGAGCTCTGGCCTAGGGAGAAACTCCCTAGGCCTGAGATGGATAACAACTAAGTTGGAAGACTAGAACTGATATGAGGACTTAGAGTGAAGACTAGTGCGAGGACTAATATGATATTCAGACTGAGGTACTACAAGACATATACACGAGTTTATATACTAAGAGAAATAATGGAAGGATCAATAAGCAGAGTCCGAGGCTATGTACGAAGCATATGCAAAGGTTAACAAATGCGAGTCAGAAATGAACATAGGTTAATGGATCAGTAAGCATACCGGTAATAGATATAACTGAGGTACCGGGAACAAGGAATACCGGATAGGCTGTGTTAACATTATATGCACAGGAAATGAATCAAGAAGCTTATCGTATATCAGATAGGAAATGTATCTATATGTCGGATAGGATCGGATCGGACCGGATCGGATGTGGTCTGGATGAGATGCGTGGATATGCAAGATATAATATTAGGGCAATGGGACAAGGGTGAACGATGCAGGCTAGCTGCGAAGGTAAAGGGATCTGGATGTGGATGTGCGGAGGTGCAGGGATCTGGATAGGTAGAGGACTGCAGACATGGATAGGATATCCGAAGGTCCGGATGAGGCGTGGGAATATTATCGGATGTAGGTCCGGAATACAGGATATGACACACAGTCGGCACCCATGAACCTTCTCCAATAGTTGCCTGCACCTTAGAGCCATTCACAGTGTTTCCCGAGTGATAGATAAATATGCGGGCCCTGATTATCTTCTCCAGACAGTAAGTCCTAAGGGTAGCGACACAATTTTGCATGTCTTGAAACAAGCCAAGAAGGTCAAACAAGGCTTTCAGTATGAGACAGCGCGGACACGGGCAAGAGCCCATATCTTTGATTGTTGCTATCAAAACCCTGAGGCGATGATGAGTACATTAACAAAAATGAAACAAGATGTGCACTTCTCTGGATAATCGGCCAAGTAAGTAAAGATCCGTGGAAAAACTCTTCTGAGTATTCCATCTGGACACCAAAGAACAATTCCGTGATGGTATGCGTGAAGGAATTCCGCATCCAATAAATGTTTCCAACACGCATGAAACAAATCTCTCCGACAATGCGCATGAAGAGCTGCCATGCCGCTCTTCGATATCTGCGGCAAGCTACTGAAGACGTCCTTTACATTATCCGGAAGCTAGAAATTCAATGTGAGAGAGACACACGATGCGGGAGGCAGATAACCTACAGAAGGTAAAAATCCAACAAGGTGGCATGCACCCGATTTGGGTGCTGATTGAGCATACTTCGTTAAGTTTCCAAAGTACAAATACAAGGGCCAAGCCTTGGCCATTCCGAAGTTGGCCAGATGAGTTGCATCAGAAAAAAACATCAATCCAATGATAACACGTTCGAGTGAGCAACCAGGCTCTCTTGGCTGTCTATGCAGACCATCCTGGGCTTCTAACCAGGAGTCAGAGGTACATATACAACTCGTCAAACACACGTTCTTGATGGCTGTCCAGTGGATCCTTCCATAGACACTTGAAGGGTGAAAGATGGAATGCGCTGGCCTGAATGTCGGTGAATGCGGAATGAATCACTGATAAAAGTGGCCGGTAATGAAACACCAAAATATTAAGTGATCTGCCCCGGTCATCTTTTGACTTAGAAGGGATATCAAGGGCAATATCCATTGCCAACCAGTCATCTGGGAAGATTACAGGCCCCTTTCCTCCGTTATCGTCCAATGCGCGCAGACTCCTCCTTACTGAAAATCCATCCAAGTCATTTGAATCGAAATCCTTCACCAGAATCACGGCTTTAACAAGACACGTCACTTCAGCCTCTGATTTCTGATGACTACCAGAGTTCATCCATGCCATCAGACGGTAGATGGTCATGTTGGAGAAGGGAAAAGGCGGTCCAGAGACAGAATCAGACCCATCTGCATCCGCGTGGGTGGTCGTTGGACAGGAATTGGCTAACTGGGTAGATGAGATGTATCTATCGGGCTTGAACGAGGGGCGCCTAGGACATTGTCAGCAAAGTCCAATGGCGTTAAATATTGTTTGGAGAGAATCACGCAGAGTCAATAAGACTCTTTGGATTCTGTGTTGCGGTTGATTGTGAGTTTCTGTCGCATGAGACGGGTCATTCCCAGCGGAATCAGAAGGATTGAGGTCTTCATCAGCAGGTAGAATATCGGCAAACCTTCTTGGGAGGGGCCTGGATGTGCTTCACGAAGGACATTGATCTGGGTCTGCTTCGATGGGTGAGGTTACCATTAGTATGCTGCAGGTACAAGATTTTGCAGAAGATGCGCACCTAGATCGTGTTCAGTCACGGCAGTATCATACTCCTCCGTCGACATTGCAACATCTACAATGTCCATGTCCTGTAATGCAGAGGTTGAGACACTGCTGTAGTAGTAGCATGAGAGGTATTGTAACTGAGTTGTTACTGGGCTCAGCCACGCTAGGTTCGCAACTGGCTGCAGATTTCGAATGATTGGTAAATAGCATCGGTCGCAGCTGTGAATTATAGTAAGTCAACTTAAGAGAACTAGTAAGTCCGAAGTGAGAGTTGAATCCAGACTTGGACTCAGTGAATCAATGACTTGGACGTACTAGTACAGGAGCACCAGCACCAGCGTTAGCCTGAGCCTTGGTTGCGTTAAGCTGTTGTGTCGACTTTCTTTGAGATGTCTTAATCGATTCATTTGCCCGGTCCCTCCTTTTCTGTGAGGCTAATACACTTGCCCTCTGGTAATACTTGCATGCAGAACGATGTCTACTAAGTCCACGAAAATCGGTGTCCTTCTCCCAAGAGCAACGCAATGCGCCGCAGGACACCGTGACCATGGAAAGGATGAAGATGAATAACAGAACCCAAGGCGATTGAGATGGATGCATTCCACCACGGCCATCGTGATGATAGAGACCGTCAAAGAGAAACCTGAGGATGCGGTGCGGCAGTGACCGGCCAGTCCCCAACTCTGCCCGTCCGAGTCCGTATTCAAGTTTTCACCATATCATAGCTAGTAGCTATTCACCTCGATTCTTGATTCAGTTGTTATCATATCTTTTGATTTCCTGTCCATACATCGTATCAGGAGGGACTGTGCTGTAATTACAAGTATTTCAATGATACAACCGCACCCAATAATTCTGCGGCTCCAACATTCATCAACCTCTTAAACATTAGTGTGTTCAACTGTTAGAAAAACAATCAGCTTGGGACTAGTATGTCTGAGCCTGCAAGGAAAATGCTCACAACCAAGCAACACCAAAGGTATTGTGTACTAGCTTCCCTAGAAAACCTCCGAAACACAGTTCACGAAGAAGCCGTGTTTTGGCACAAACTGATTGGACCGTAAGCACAGTGACTGAGGGGTGTGGCGGCCTGGTCCTCTTGAATTTTGATGAAGATGCAAATCCACAGAGAAGTTCTTCGAATGTATGGACAGCGTTGCTGAGTGCTTGACATGCATTAACTAAGTGAACGAGAATCCTTTGGTGATAAGTAGTGCTTTGATGAGGGTCTGAAGGCGAAGTTATGGTCGCATGCACCGTTTGATATGGGCAAAATACTGAAAAACTATTAGGACGTTCAAGTTGGTCCTAGAAAGGATAAGGAACTGCAGGACGTGCAATCTGAATTTACACACCTCCAAAGGTTTGTCTGGGAGCACACGGTTAGACTCAGACTCTTGAGATCATTAAAAAACCGCAGGTACATTGCTCACTGATAGAGCGATGGTCCATAAAGATGGTAGGGTTGTGGAAATTGGAGATTACGAACGTGACTCAAGCATATGCCGTCCCCTCTGGGAGTTTCTTCGCATCAGCATGATTGAGCCTGAGGTTCTGAAGGGGAGTAGCATACGCCTGGACTCAGAAGAGTGAAATCTGTGAGGAAGAAGAAAAGAACGCCCACGGGAAACTTACTATGTGTGACCGCCACATTTGAAGCCGAGCTAGTGAGCTTCTTCTCTAATATTTTTCATGCGTAGAATTGAAGGAGTGTGATATCTTTGATGAAAAACTGTCGTCTGGGAAGATATTTGATGATTTACTAAGGGGGCAAGCCAACTTCAAGGAAAGAGCTTACGATTGCAAACAGAGAACAACGATCCCCATGGACTCAGAAGGGCCGTGACCATCACTGACTTTTTCATCTAGACAATCCTGGGCCTTGGTATCGCTCTGGCCAGTGCGTAACTAGAATATGAGCCTGCTGCTAGTTAACTTATCATGATCATCCAAGTTTATGTCACATATTGAAGACGCACCCAGAATACCAACTGAGCAATTTACTGGCAGAGGATGGAATCTGAAACTTTGACCTGGAGCGTATTAACATATATCGTCCTGTGATACCACCATGGTGGAGAGAATATGATCATCAAGGAGCACATTTCGCTTTCACCGTGACCGTGACTGAAGCCGTGACTCATCTTCCATTCCGTCCTCATTTAATTGGACATCACTGTTAGATATGCGGCTTGAAAGACCTGTGTCAATGTAGTGCATTTCTCCGATCACATACTGATTCAAACCCGTACATAGTAATTTATGACTATGGGATGGGGAATATCCAGATGAGTACGATGAAGTAATGAGATAAAGTACAATTGGAAATGGGGAAGTGGCACGAATTTAGACCCACAACTATTTCATTAGATCACCCTTCATAGGTTGGTCATACCTCGCAGGCTCATAACCCGGCATCACAGAACATGCCTTCTGAAATCTTTGAAGCCACATGTCTTCCTCACGCTTTAAGATCGTCAGGAAGTGGGTGTACTGGTGGACTTGACATTGCACTGCAGCGTAGTTTGCAAACACCGTATGAACGGTATTCGCTAGCAGTACATCCTGCTCATCGACTTGCCCCTCTGTTTCATCCAGCGACACGTGTCCCAACTTCTCTTCCGTGACCACACAACCTATCTCTTGAATCTTCTGTGCCCATGCTTCTTCAGCACGCTGCAGGAGTGCCATGAATTGAGTGTACTGACGAACTCGGCTCTGTGCAGCCAGGTAGCTGGTATGCACTGTGTCAATGCTGTACATGGTAAATAATTCGTCTTGTTCGTCATTGTTCAGGTCTATTCCGTCGAGAGACAACTTACACAAAAACTCAGTGTTCGCGTCGTATAACAAAATAAGAAAATCTCGTACAATATATATTTGTCTCTCGAGGTCATGACCAGTTGATATTATATTCAAAAAATGCTCATGCTTTGGAGGTATAACATTTGGGCTGGCTTTGTGAAGAGAACGCTCAAAATTACAGACAGTCAGGGACAGCATTGAAATTGGAGCTGAAAACATGTTGCAAAGATTCAAATATGACTCATCCATCCACTTGACTTTTAGGGGAGATTTTTGATCGGAGTATTCGGTGTTTGAAATTCAAGTTTGGATATCACTCCAGGAAATCAAGACCGACTGCCAAGAATTAAGAGATGTACTAGGTAGTAGGTAGAAGGGGATGAGATTGTTTGGGAACACAAGGACAAATCAAGGCACTGGATATTAAGAAACTGACAATGATCCCCATTAGTTTGTCAATGTGTATGAGAAATCAACACTCAAAACTCACCAAGAAGATATCATGCAGAATAGTGGTGTGCATGGCCCAGCTTCAGGCTGTGGGCCAGGCCAGGCCAAAGTCACAGCCTGGTGATGGCTTTGACCTGGCCTGAGATTATGAAAAGCCAAAGCTGCTGGCTCAGGCTGCAGCTTATGTCATATACTACTAACTGTGCCTGCAGTGCCCCAAACTACTTGATGACTGTGGACTGTACCTTTAACATATGGCTTCTATCTCACTTTGGCCTTTGAATCACTTTCCTTGTGTATTTCCATGGGCCAATATAGTATGTCAATTAATTACAGTGAGTCGCACATTCTTTCCAAGCTTGATACAACTCATTTTTAGTGATGTGCATGGCCTGGTGTAGAAATAACAATACTGCTAGGAACAAAAGATGCTCCTAACTGTATCTAAAAATGTCGTAGGTCGAGTGTTGCCTAGTCTGCTATGCTTGAGGTGGCAAGCATGTTCGACCCTTAAGGGGAAGCAAGTGCAGCGAAGATCTAGAGGTACGTGCCAAAGTGAAGCGCGATAAAGCGCAGGTGCGTGCAAGGTACGAAGGCGCGGGAATGCGCGCGCATATTAGCGCAAAGCGCGGGAAAGTGCGCGCATGTATGCGGAAATGATAGATAGATTAGACTCAAGTGATAATATGATGCAAGAGATGTGAGAGTGCGAGATGTAAAGGAATAGAGTTCTATTGCAACTTTCTAGGTAGTAAGTACTAGGTAAAGTGAGAGGTGAAAGTTCAGTAAGGTGAAAAGTAAGTAGTGAAAAGGTCCGTGGAAAACTTGTGTGTTGGCGCTTATATAGCGTGCCTAAGCACGGTCATGCGGAGCCGAAGCACTACCGAGTAGGTATGTAAAGATATATATAAGTAAGGGTCCATTATAAAAATAGAGGTGGAATGATATGCTAATAAAGGAATGGACATATACGCACTAGAGGGTTTGGTGGACAGTGGATGGATGCTTCTGGATGGCTGGCGCTATAGGGCGCTCAAGCGCGGGAATGGTGCGCGCATAGCGCGCATTGCATGGGAAAGTTGCGCCTCGTATGGGGATAGCTGCGGGTAGCGCACGGAGTGACACTACAAGTTCGTGCTATGTACTCCTTGGTGGGAACTGCCATATCACGCCATGAGAGGCATGAGTCTCTACACCGGCTTCAGGCCGTGGGCTGGCCAAAGCCAAGCCTGATTAGGCTGAGCTAAGCCAGGCCTAGGTCACAGCCTGACAATGGCCTAGGGCCTGGCTTGAGCTGTTGGAAAGCCAAAGCTGGCGGCTTTATGTCTCTGCTCATCCATCATCGATATCAATGCATCCTTACTTTTGTTGAAGTTGGAGGATTCGGAGATGTTGGATCACGACGCATGATACAAGTGCGACTGTTTTGACAGAGGCACAAGAAAAGGGACATTGAGTGTCACTCGACATCCAGATACCAATGTTTCACCTTTCGTTCTCCTTACTATGCTAATATATGTATTGCAACATGTTTACCTTATAGTCTTTTCCCATAGCGAACGAGCATCTCAGTCCCACAAACAGAGACTGAGATGTGAGTTGTTACATTTGAACTTACTTTAGAACGCGCGCTGATAAAAATGAGTAGATTGTTTTCTATCTACTTAGGTACTGTATTTGGACTAAGAGTCCCACAAACTGAGACTGAGATATTGTTTTCTATCTACTTAGCTCCCGCCTGATCTGTTCGCCTCGAAACTTGAGAGGTTATGAGCCCTGCTTTGACCATGGATACTACACTCCCCAGCTCCAGCTCCACGCTGTTCAACATCCCAAAACTCGCTGACAACAGCTTGAATTGGATAACCTACAAGGGAAGAATGTTGATGGCTCTTGGCACTCGAGGCCTGATGTGATATACCGACGGTCATAAGACAAAGCCCATCCCCTTTGCTGTTGATCTGTCAATGGGAAAAGTGACGAAGCTGGACAGAACTAAACCGACGGATGCAGAACTAGAGGACCTAGAGGATAAGATAGACGAATACCAGCAAAAGGACTCACTGGTAAAACAACAAATCTTCAGCACCATTTCTGATCAGCTTCTACTCCGGATCCAGAACCTAGGCAGTGCAGCCGCCATCTGGGATGAAGTCTGCAAGATCCACGAAGGGAAAACGGAATTGGTCCGGATAGACCTCCATTGCAGACTACAGGAGTTGAGATGTGAGGAAGGGGGGGCACGTGTCGCAGCCAGCGATCAAGGCTGCCATAGTGAAAGGGTTTGTCGAAAGCATTGAGTTAGACTCTGCTTCAGAACCTGAGCTCTGCGAGGTGTGTGAGAAGTGGACGGCCGCAAGGCACCTGTTCCCAAAAAAGTCCAAACATAGGGCGCAGGCATACGGTGAATTAATACACACCGACCTCTGGGGACCTGCGCAAACCATTAGCATAGGTGGGAGCTCTTACTACATGAGCTTCACCAATGATTTTTCCCACGAGACATACATTCTCTTCCTGAAACACAAGAGTGAGGTTCTTGGCGCATTCAAACAGTATGAAGTGCAACTCACCAGACAACACAACACTAAAATCAAGACATTATGTTCGGACAGGGGAGGGGAGTACATGAGTGCTGAGTTCGATTCATACTTAGCGACCCAAGGTATCAAATGGGAACTCACCATGCATGATTCGCCACAGCAGAACGGCGTGGCTGAATGCCTCAACAGGACGCTAGTTGAGTTGACACGTGCAACATCCCAAAATTCCTGTGGACTGCAGCCATTAGCTATGCTAGCTGGCTGCGCAATCGCCTACCTTCGCGTGCCATGCCTGGCCACACACCATATGACTTGGTGCATGGGCGTAAACCCAACCTGGCCTGGGCGCATGAATTTGGCACTCAGGTGTATGTCCACTTGCAGGATGCAGGGAAACTTGAGGCGAGGGTGGAGGAGGCAATCTTCATAGGAGTGGATGGGCAGAGCAAGAGGTACCATGTCTACTGGCCAGGTAAGTGTTGTATCTCTGTGGAATGTAACATTAGTTCCATGCCCACAACTGTAACGGTGGCTGCAGACGTACCGCTTGAGGGGGAGAAAGCACTGTTGCCAGTGAGTAATGACCAGCATGTCTCGACACCCACACCATCTACTGCACTGAAGCTCCAAACACCACTCCCGGAACAAGCTGCCCCCAGAGCGACACACATTAGGCCTCCCATAGGGTACTATAAGTCCCTACACCAGGGGGAGTCAGCTTTCTTAGTGACCGCAGATGACACACCACTTACCCATTGAGCTCTAGCAGCAGCAGAGCCCAAACCTACTCTCCAACAAGCCTTAAATGGCCCAGATGCTGTGGAATAGCAAGAGGCTATAGACTATGAAATTAGTCAGCTAGAGAAGCTAGGAGCCTGGGAAGTGGGAAATGTACCATGTCATGCTAATGTCATACCCTGCCACTATGTTCTGGCCACAAAGTACAGCCTGAACAGTGAGAAACTGAAGCTGTGTGCCCGACTTGTGGCAAACAGCCAACGTCAGAAGCGCGGTGTAGAGACTCGCGCATCTCAATGCCAGATATCTGGCCTTTACCCATACATTCCTATATGCAACAGCTCTAATCCTAAGGACCAGTCTCCCGCGCACTCGCGCGCGCCTTATCTGTACTCACGCGCACTTAGGCATGCTGTAGAGACTCGCGCGTCTCAATGACGAATATCCGGCCTTTAACCATACATTCCTATATGTTACAGCTCTACTCCTAAGGACCAGTCTCGCGCGAACTCGCGCGCGCCTTATCCGAACTCGCGCGCACTTAGGCACGCCTTACCTACGCACGCGCCTCCTCATAGGTCTTCGCACTATCGTCCGTCCATCCGTCCCATGTCCTTACTGATTCGCTGGTGCGTTATTTCTATCTTATCCATTGAACTAATAAAATCTTCGGTCCGACATCCGCGCTACTTATGGAAAGTTTATTTAAACTTAGTTATAATTAGAGTTGATATGGTTACTCGGTTCGGGAGCGCGCTCGGAAGCGCGCCTTCTCCATTCTTAAATACAGAAGGGTTTCCTTTGGTTCTGGTACTTACTTTTCCCTTATCTTTGTGTACTGGAAAGTGAATAGATCACCTCCCCACTTGTTATCTGATCATATCCTCCTGTCAATCCTCCACCTTTGCACTCACTCCTCAGTAAGATCTTGCCTCTAATGCTTTAGGCGCGCCTTCTCGGACCTCCCGCTCACGCGCGCATCTCGCGCGCCTTCGCCTCGCGCACGCGCGCCTTCGCATGCGTTATCTTCTCGCGCCTAGCTCACAGAGTTTCCCTCCACTTTATTTCGAGGAACTTCTCTCAGTGGTTGTCCTTTGGGTCGAGTCGTTGTCTTGTATCCCGGTCTTGCTGTTGAGCACCCCTTTTGTTTTAAGTGTTTTCACGTATAGTCAAGATTCCTCATCTACAACGCCTTACCTACGCACGCGCTATATGCGCGCTTCGCGC